CAGAGCTCTGATTCAGTGGTGGTGGAGGGGGCTTGGATTTTGCGGTTCAAACACTTTCCCAGGTGATGCTGATCCAGCTGGTCTGGGGACCACACGTGGAGAGCCACTGATGTAGTCCTGGGTACAAAGGAAGGTGGAGAATGGTGGGCAGTGGCTCTGAAAAGGCAAGCGGAAGATATCTGGCCCAGTTTTCTTAGTTGTTAGAGGATTCAATGGATGTATGTTTAAGTGCTTGTCATGCTGGAGGTTATCAGTAAATGTCCCCTTTCCTTGACTTCAGGCCTCAGCGTGCTCTTTGACTCCTCTTGACCATTATGGCTTCTACCAACTGCTCTGTTCAGATCTTCAAGACCTGCAAGAGGGCTCCCCAAAATCCTAACTCTGAACTTGGTCTCACCATCTGTTTTCTGCAGCTTCTCTCAAGCTCAGAGGACTCCTGTGCCAGCCTCAAGTCACCCAGGTTCCGACCCTGGGACATCTTCTTCCCTGCAAAGGTGTCGCTTTGAGCCTGAGGTGCTGACACTCTCTTTCGTTCTTGAGCTTTTATTTATTTATTTTTCAGGATTTATGACCCAAATACTTTAGTTTTTCTTTTAAAAAAAGTAACTCTCAATATGGATGTTTTCTTTTTCTTTCTTTTTTTAATTCCAAATGGCTAAACAAATACCTACTATATGACTTCTTTGGGGAGGTACAAAAAATGTTTGCATTTCAATGGAAAACATGCATTGTCTGCAGCATACCCTTTCAAGTTATCAGATTCTGTCCCTATTCATTGTCTTTGAGTTGTTTTGCCATGCTTTCTAAATTGTAGGTAACTGATATGTAAATTTCATCTTGTCAGGTGGTGATTTTAATTGACTTCCTTCCCTCTGTGGAAAAACTAGTTTTGTCTCTGCAATTATGTGAGATAATAAACGTTTCTTATTGTATAAATTGGGTTTTCCATTACTTGCAGGGAAGACCCTCCTGACTGACAGATCCCTTATAAATTGGGGTTAGTAATACTTCCTGCCTGCCCCACAGGATTGCCCTGTGAAAGCACTTTAAAAGGTGTTTGAGGATACATGTTCTAAAGGATGACGCAGAGTATATGGGAGGTATGATGCATAGGCCCCTAGCTGGCTGGAGGCTTTATAGCCTCTTCTTTGAGTTGAAGAATTAGAAAGGAAATTAGTTCACATACACTTCCTCTAGGCTTTAACATAGCTGCAGTTTTTGCTTTTGTTACTGTTACCGAACCATGTCAGCCTGACACACAGCAAGCCAAACGCTGAGACACCAAAGTTTCCAGCCCAGAAAGAGTTTATTCACAAGGCAGCCAAGTGAGGAGACAGGAGAACAAGTCTCAGATCCGCCTCCCTGAAGGCAGGGGATTGGGGTATTTTAGGGATAAGCAGGTGGTCTTAGGCTGGGGAAAGGTGATTGGAGGCAGGTTAAAAGGTGAGGTAATTGATGTTCTGTGCACATGCATCTGGGTTACATGTTTCTGCATATTCAAAATGGAGGCGCTTAGCATAATCTGTGAGTGGAGTTTTCCGGCCCTCTGACATGAAAAGGCCATTCACTGGACATCTGCACAGGCCCAGGTTTAGGGTCGGTGGTCCCAACCAGCCCCCAGCCAGCCTGCAGTGGGCAGGAGCAGACTCCAAATTCCTATAAAACCCCTGGGCTGCGTAAAGCTGGGAAGGTATGCAATTAAAGAGAGGAAAAAAAGAAAAAAAAAACCCAAACCTTAATCAATGAAGATATTTTTACAAGCAAAAGGGTTTTAATAATCTGTTCCCTTATCAGTTGTTCTGTAAGACAAATTCAAGCATTTCTATTAGTTATCAGCTTCTATTAACTATAGGGCATGGTTTCAATGCTAAACTGCAAAACACAGTGCTACTCAGGTATTTGCAGTAAACTGGAAAGTGGCTATTGGAATTTAGGGAAAATGGTCAAGTAGAAAGGCCTTTAGTGAATGCAATTTTTAAAACACAGTGATCAATACTACAAGGTTTAATTAACTGTTGTTGAATTTGTAAAGAAAAAAAAATGTTACCTGCCATTCCAGTTCTACAAGGATCAAGCCATCAGCCACTGCAGTTGCCCACTGACAATGCACTCTGAGGGAAATTCAGGATGGAGAAAAACAGCAAACTTTCTGTGCTTTGGATATACCGCCCCTTAGGTATTTAAGATGAATATCTATGGAAGAATTTCAAGTGACCCCAGATTGTTGCATCTTCCCATACATAGAAAAGCATTAAAATCATTAACTTGAGCTATCTCTCTTCTTTGTGATTAGCAATACTCTTTTGACACTTGACTACATGTTTTTCCCCAACAAAAAGGTTCATATATCTCCTGGTTCCTCCCTTTACCTCTTGGAGTTCCTCTGAGCTATCTGAGAGGCTGTCTCTCAGGCTATAGTCCTCAATAAAGTCCCCAAATAAAACTTAACTCATAACTTTTACATTGTGTGATTTTCCTTGTCAACACATTTCATTACCAGTATGTCATTTGTCATTACCAGTATATTATTTGTCCCAGTCCTGTAGGTGGTTGAGTTTCTAGCTCATTGTAGTACTGAGGTCTGATTTCCAGCACTTCTGTCATCTCTAAGGGGTGTTAGTTAGTCTGCGCAAACTCTTAGCACATAAACAAGTGCTCTTTATTAAATCCTCTTTGATGATTACAGTTACTATAGAACTCCTCTTCACCGACCCCTCCCTCCAGAAAAATTACAAGCACTTGAAAATTAGAGTCTAAATTTTTTTTTTTTTTTGTCTAAGCATGTTCTGAATACTGGGTTTGTGTTAGGCTTTATTAACACTTGGTCTTCAGGCTATAAAACCTTTCACCTCAAGCGTCCTCACTCTTCTAGCAGCTTCGATTGAATGGACAGAGAGGAGGAGACATCTTCCTAAAAAACAACCGTCTTCAAGGTTTGAAATCTTGTGACCAAAGTCATGGTTATAAAAGTCAGAAGGGGCCAGGTTTCTGTGAGCTCATCTTTGCTCTGGGTTAGAATTTAATGGGGTTTTTTTTGTTTGTTTTTTTGCTTTTGTTTTTGTTTTGCCATGCCACGAGGTATGTTTTTTGTTGTTGTTTTTGGGTGTTTTTTTTGCGGTACGCAGGCCTCTCACTGTCGTGGCCTCTCCCGTCGCGGAGCACAGGTTCCGGATGCGCAGGCTCAGCGGCCATGGCTCATGGGCCCAGCCGCTCTGCGGCATGTGGGATCTTCCCGGACCGGGGCACGAACCCGTGTCCCCTGCGTCGGCAGGTGGACTCTCAACCACTGCGCCACCAGGGAAGCCCTCACGAGGTGTGTTTTATTTTCATTAATCATACAAATAACTTTCTATAGTATTCCAGGGCAAACCAGAGAATTTGGCAGTCCCATTGGAGGGTCCCCTCAGAGACCTATGGGCTGGTGGCATCAGCAAGGAGTGCCTGGGTTCACAGTGCAGCTTGTCACTCATGTCCATCTTGCAGGTGGCTCTTCCTCCACATCACAGCTAGGGTCTCCAAGATGATGGGAGCGGAGGATCCTCCAGGTTCTTAGAAAATTTCACTCCGCTTGCTTCTCCTGCTCAGTGGTCTCTTTGGTCAGCAGGGTGTTCTTCTCCTGTGCCTCCATCTTCTTCAGCTTGGCCTTATTGAAGCTGGTGATTTCCCCCATGTCCGGCTTACCTGCCATTTTCTTAAAACAATCCGAGAAGTTCTGCTCCAGGCCCACAGTCCCAGTGCTCCTACTCACATTGCTGCAGCAAGAGACTAGAATTAATTGTGAAATCATTTTAAAAAGCTGTTGCAGACTTCTTATATCTTCATTCCTGAGCACCAACAAGCTCTAACCAACCAACCAACAGGTCTATGGATCTATTGGGTTTTAGTTTTGGGGTTTTTTTTAGACCTATTTTTAAAAGGTAAATACGTATTCACTCTTACGCTGGTTTGGACAATATAGACATGTTTGCTATTGATAAGAGGTTCTCATTTCCTCTTCTGTTGTGTATTTTAAAGCCGTCTGTTGTTCTCAATGCTGATTCCACATGAGAATCAGTAACATAATCAAAATATAATGACTCTGGGGCTTCCCTGGTGGTGCAGTGGTTGAGAGTCCGCCTGCCGATGTAGGGGACACGGGTTCGTGCCCCGGTCTGGGAAGATCCCACATGCCGTGGAGCGGCTGGGCCCGTGAGCCACGGCCACTGAGCCTGTGCGTCCGGAGCCTGTGCTCCGCAATGGGAGAGGCCGCAACAGTGAGAGGCCCGTGTACCGCAAAAAAAAAAATAAATAATAATAAATATATATATATGTATATAATGACTCTAAAATTATTAATAATATATTTCTTTTTCTTCATACTAAGTCTTTGAAATCCAGCATGTATTTTATACATAAAGCACATCTCAACTCAGACCAGCCACATTTTAAGTGTTCAATAGCTCCGTGTGTCTAGTGTGACCATATCAGACAGCACAGATCTAGACCTAAGACTTCAAATGATTTTAAGAAAATGAAGACATAGGTAAGCAGTAAAAGCATGCAGAGTCTCATCTTGTCCTCAGGGTTGGGTAGGCAGCAAAATACAGATCCTGACTAAAATGTCAACTAGGCAAGGCAAATACCATGCATAAGTTGTAAACACTGGAGAAAAGAAAGTAGAACCAATCAAATAAAAGGCGGGAAGTGAAAAGAAAATTAAAGAAAATAAACAAGAAATCATGGCTGATAGTTTAAAATATTACAGTTGGTCCAAACTTTGGAATACTGTGCTAAAATTAAAAAGAATAAGGTAGGCAGTGTCTGATGGCCTCCCCGCAGTGATCTCTGCTTACTAGTGTTAATGCCCCTGTGTAATGCCTTCTCCTTGAGTTTGGCTGGATTCACGGACTCTCTCCTAATGAACAGAATACAACAGAATTGATGACATGTCACTTCCGAGATTAGGTTATGAAAAGGACTTGGTTTCTGTCTTGTGCACACTCTCGCTCATTCTCTCTTAGATCACTCACCCTTGGGAAAGCCGACTGCCGTGTCCTGAGGCAACCTTGCTGAGAGGTCCATGTGGCAAAGGACTGAGGCCTGCCAAAAACCACATGAATGACCTTAAAAGAAGATTCCCACCTCACTCCAGGTCAGGCATTCAGATGAGATCACAGCCTCAGCCAATAGCTTGACACAGCCTCATGAGAGACTTTGAGCCAGAGTTGCCTAGGTAAGTTGCATCTGAAACTCATCCACAGAAACTGTGAGATAATAAATGTTTGTTACTTTAAGTTGGGGGATAATATGTTATGCAGCAATAGATAATGAACACAGTAGCTATATATTAACATTAAATATAAAAAACCCCAGTTGCTGTTTAGTACATGTAGAATGAACCCGTATGTAAAAAAATGCAAAAATTAAAATGTGTGAGAGGTAGACAGAATAAGATTTATTAATATATGATTATTCCTGTCTTTCCTTTCTCCTTTATTCTCCTTACATACACTAAAGTGAGTCTTTTCCTTCCTTACCCTTCTCTTAGATGCTAAATCAGAAGAGTATAAAGAGATCTGCCTGAAAGTAGGAAGGATTTAGTGAAAAATCAAGCTAGTGTACAAAATAAAGAACTGGAGGTTAAAGAGAAAAGAAAGGAGAAAAATATGCACAAATTGGGGCTTGACAAAGTTTTGTGATTTAGCATATCAGAGATCCTAGCGTGAAAAGTATAGTATGGGTTTGAACTGGGGCACTTTTAGGGTTTTCAAGAGATGGGTACAAGGATTGGAAATGCTTCTTCATTAATATTTTGTGGATGAACTACTTTCTTTGAATCTAATATTATTCAGAGACTGGGCTATGTGGAAAATAGAATTTAGTAGGGTTATGTATGTATATAGATAAATGTTGGTACATAAAACCTTATAAGGAAGCAGTGAAAGGCTTTCATTTTTCATTATTTGTTCTTCTGTATTTGAAATTTTAATAGCAAGCTATATTGATAAAAATCTGAAGAAGTTATTTCACTGAAACATCTGTGCGATGTTGCCAGTGCAAGACACATGTGACAAATTCTTAGCAACAGCTATGACACAGGTAGGAAATGGGTGCTGGTGGCCCCAGTGGTGACATGAGACAGAGAAAGAGAGAAGAAAAGGTCGCACCATGGGTAACTGAGAAGCTTTGCAATGAATACATTCAGAACATCCCAGAATTTATTAGGAGGAACTTTGAGAGGTGTCGAAGATGAAGCAATTGTGGATTGTGGGAGAGTCAGAGAAATCCTGTTTTTCGACTGACTTGTGACCCAGTTTTAACCCTGGGATTGTGAAACCTGGGGGAATAAGTATGAAACCTCCATAAAATTATTGACAACTGTAATCATCCCCTAAACAATATTATGCAAAAGACTCTCAGAAAGTCAGGTCAGCTACTGGGTGCAGAGAAATTGGAATGCTCAAATACTGCTTGTGAGCAGTTACACAGGCAAAAACAAGTTTGTAGAGGGTAGTGTGGCTTTTAAAATACCTGAAGGAAAATAATTCTCTTTCTAAATGCCCACTCTCCCGTTCCCCAAACGTCTCAGTCACCCTTTGCCTGTGAAACATACGCAAACCCCCAGGAGCACTTAGTTTACTGTGGTGCAGTAACCATTGCTGAGTGCCTTCCTTGAGTTTAGCACTGTGCCAAGGGATTCAAGCATCATACAGGATATATCCCCACCCATCAGTTCTTAAACTCTGGTCAAGGAGAGAAATCACACCCAGCAAACAGTGAGTGACAGCGTTGGGTGTACTGAGACTATCTCCTCACTGTCAAAATATGAGACTGCATGGTACAGGAAAACAGATAATAACTAGGCACCACATCATATAACATCAACTCGATGAGGATATTTGGGCATTTATAAACTTTTCCATTATAAAGATTACTATGGGGGTGGGGGGAGAAAGATTTAGGGACTTGCTTAAAATCAAACAGTGACCTCCCTCCTCCTTCCTTCCTTCCTTCTCTTGCTTTCTTCCTCCCTCTATCCATCTATTCATTTAATCAATGTTTATTTAGTGCTTACTATGTGTCAAGCTCTGTACTAGGTCCTGGGGATAAAAAGGTTAGCAAAAACTCTGGCCCTCAAATATCCTGGAGTGTGTAGGGGAGATAGATCAAATAATTATACAAAAATATGTAATTATAATTTTGATAATGTTATAAAGGTTAACAATATAGTGCTGTGAGACTATGTAACTTGACCATGGGATTCAAGTCTAGATTGACCCCAAATTCCCTGCTGCTCTTACTAACCACTCTTTGCCTTTTGCAAAGTAGCCAAACTACCATCCTAAAGATTGTATTGCTAATTCTGCTTCTGGAATTTCCTTTTCTTTGTTGAAGCTGCCATGGTAGTTCACTGTACTTGCATCACAGTTGTCACTGCTGGTGTGTAGCAGAACCATTTCAGGCTTGAGGTTCAGAGAGCCCCAGTTCCAAATGCTCATTTTGTCACTTTCTATCTCTGTGACATTGGGCAAATAATTAGACCTCTCTGAGCCTCAGTTTTCCCAACCGTGAAATGGGAATGATAGTATATGTCAAGCACATGGGACTTAATATCCATGCAATAATTAACTATTATTATTATTAACAACTGAGAATGTTACTGCCTGTAAATCTGGACCCAGGGAAACTGGTCAGTTTGTCCAGAGTTAGAGCCGTACCTGATGCCTAAATTAGAATTTTATACCTTATGTTCATGAAATCTTTCTCAAGATTAGAAATAAGCGCTGTAGGGACTTCCCTGGTGGTCCAGTGGTTAAGACTCCGTGCTTCCATTGTAGCGGGCACGGGTTTGATCCCTGGTCTGGGAACCAAGATCTTGCATGCCGCACAGCATGGCCAAAAAAAAAGAAAAGAAAGAAGCATTGTATGTTTGAAGACAGAAAAGCAATGGAACTATATGTCCACACAAAAAAAGATGGGACCTTCAGTGTTTATATTAATGGAGCTGTCATTTTCTGTTAAAGAAACACATTTGAGTAAGAAGCTTCCAGCCAGAGCACTTTAGTTATATGTTTTGGCAACAGTAAGGGTATGGTGTAGGGACTCTATGATTCTGGACAGCAGAATCAGGGTTTTGTTCCTGGAAAAGTAATGTTAGATTGTTTATCCGTTTACATCCAGTAAGACTATTATCTGCTGATTGCAATTACAACCCCCTGGAGATATTTGGACATCACATCCGTTCTATTACATTCTTGGTTCCTTGCTACCCCCCCTTTTTTTTTTTTGGCACCTCATCTTTATCCAGATGAGCAAATTGTTGCCAACCAGTGTACATTATTCTGATCAGTTCTTAGGAAGGAGGCTATGGGAGTACAAGAGTACATCCAATGAATGGCTGAGCGAGCCCTACACCCCCCAAACTGGAGGTTTGGAAGCCCCTTGATGTAAAGGATCGTATTGGGACTAGATCCTAATCCTGCTCAGCCACTCATTAGGTGGAAAACTTGAGCTGGTCACCAACTTCTCTGAACTTCAACTTCTATATCTTGGGCACATAGTAAGCACTTCTTTTTTTTTTTTTTTTTTTTTTGCGGTACGCGGGCCTGCCACTATTGTGGCCTCTCCCAGAGCACAGGCTCCGGACACGCAGGCTCAGCAGCCATGGCCCATGGGCCCAGCCGCTCCGCAGCACGTGGGATCCTTCCGGACCGGGGCACGAACCCGTGTCCCCTGCATCGGCACGTGGACTCTCAACCACTGCACCACCAGGGAGGCTCAGTAAGCACTTCTTAAGTGTTTTAGATATTAATCCTGTGCCATAGGTTTTATTCTCCCCATTTTTCATATGGGAAGACTGAGTGCTGTTCAGAGGGGTTAAGCTCAATGGCGTGTGTTTAGTTGATGATGCAACTAACGTTTAAACCAGGGTTTCTCAACCTCAGCACTACTGATGCTGTGGACCAAATAACTCTCTGTTGTGGTGGCTGTCTGTGCATTGAAGGATGTTTAGCAGCATCCCTGGGCTCTGCTCTCTCCCATTCCCAGCTGTGACAACCACAGTGTCTCTGGACATCATCCAGTGTCCTCAGGGAACAAAAAATGGTGTCTTGCACCAGGTGGAGAAGCACTGATTTAAACCCAGGGTCTTTCTGGCTCTAAAGCCTACAGTCATTCCACGACATGACATCACTCATAAATACCATTTGATTCCTCATTTTAAAAAGGAATTTAAACAAGGTTTTTGTTTAAAAAAACAATAATCACATATTATTTCCAGAGGTTGATTAAAGTGAAATCAGTATATGTTGTCATGTTTCCCTCTTTTCCTTTTTTTTTTTTTTTTTTTTTGTCTTTTAATCTATTAGTATTTACCACTTGACTTCTACTGACTCCCCCATCAGGTGCCCACTGATTTCATTGTTCCCCTTCCTCCATCATAATCCTCTTTGTACCTTCAGATGGCTTAAAGCTTTAGCTATTAAAAGTTTGTTGGTTGCTGTGTTTAGGTTTGTCTTTTGGTTTTAAAACAGAGCTCAATATTTTGGGTTAAAAGCATGGGTGCCCTACCAGCAGTTCTCAATGCTGGCTGTCCATTCAAATCCTCGGCAGTTTTTATAAATGAAAACTTCTGTGGGTTCTGATTCAGTTGGGAAGGGGAAAAATGGGAGTTTTAAAAACTACTCAGCTGATTCTAACAGGCTAAAGTGCTGAGAAACTCTAAAAAGGCAGCAGAGTTTATTTGCTGCATTAGTAGTTCCTCTCAATCAGAATCACCAGAATTTGTTTAAACAAACGAAAAACAAAAAATATTTCTCAGAAGCAGAGATTAATTCATTCAGTAATTCTGGGGTTGGGCCCCAAACTCTTCATTTTAACAAGTGACTAAGGTGATTCTCATGGTGTGGTCCACAGACCAACTTGGAGAAACACTGTCAAGAGTTTGTTTGAGTCATACTCGGTTCTGCTTCATACAAGCCAAGTAACGAGGAAGAAGAAGTGAAACTTCTGAACCCCAGTAGCCTAATCTGAAAAGTGAGGATGAAACAGAGCCCACCTTGCAGAGTTTCTTTGAGATCCAAGGAGACATTGCACAGGTGCAGAGCCTTGGGATGTGTTCTGGTCATCTATATTATTAATGGGTTTAGAACCTTAGGCAATTTGATTATTATTCTTACTAAGGTTTGTTTTGGTTTGGTTGGTTGGTTGTTTTTTAAAGTTAAAGCTAACAGTATATGGGGCTTCCCTGGTGGCGCAGTGGTTCGGAGTCCGCCTGCCGATGCAGGGGACACGGGTTTGTGTCCTGGTCTGGGAAGATCCCACATGCCGCCGAGCGGCTGGGCCTGTGAGCCATGGCCGCTGAGCCTGCACATCCGGAGCCTGTGCTCCGCAACGGGAGAGGCCACAACAGTGAGAGGCCCACGTACCACAAAAAAAAAAAAAAAAAAAAAAAAAATCTAACAGTATAAACTATTTATAGATCACTTTTGGGTGGAGGGAGGGGTCCTTTGGAAAACACATATAGCGAAGTTGGTAGAGTTCTCGGGGGTGCCTGCCAGCCCACTTTGCACGCTGTGTCCACATCTGCCTCCCCTACTAGAGGGTAAGCTCCTGCACAGCACTTCTTCACCCACACTGCACCTAATCCTCTTCTCTGCCTTGTCAGTGCTCTGGGCACCTTGTTGAATTGAACGACTGGTTCTATTAGTTTGCTAGAGCTATTATAACAAATTACCACGAACAGAATGACTTAAATAACAAAAATTTATGGTTTCACGATTCTGGAGGCTAGACATCCAAGATCACTATGTTGGCAGGGTTGATTCCTGCTGAGAGCTGTGAGGAAGAGTCTGTTTCATGTCTGTCTCCTCGCTTCTGGTGCTTTGCTGGCAATCTCTACTGTTCCTTGCCTTGTAGAAGCATCACCCCGATTTGTGCCTTAATCTTTTTGTTCCTTTTTTATAAAATATATACCTTATGTATAAGGTATATGTATGCCTTATGCTCCCACAGTATAATGTGCTAAAAACTGGTTCTGTCAATGCTTGGAATAAAGTCAGTCTGTTGTCACTGAAGTTGAGCAATTTTCCTCTAGAACATTCCAGAAATTTTAAATATCTGATAAAAAATGACTGTTAGAATGAACTGTGACCTTTAGTTGCACTGATAGTTTCCACTTAAACTAAGCAGGAGCTATGTCTGATTGAGGAAGCCTAATGATGTTGCAACTTGATTGTAATAAATAATAATTTTTGATTGAAAAGTTAAAAATGTCAACAAAGACACGCAGAAGTGACTCTCTGCTCCTAATTCCCAAAATAATTTCTCCCTTCTCTGAACACACTTTTGGTACCTCTCTTAGGACATTTTCTGTTTTTTAGCTTGTATTGTAGTTATTTATATCCATGTCTGGTCTGCCCAATATATGAAACTGTAAAAAGGTTGAGGACAGGGACACCCACTGATTCAACTTTGGATCTCTTAAAATGCCGGCTCTCAATGATCCCTTACATAAAGGAGGAGTCTCTCTCTATTTAATGAAGGAATTGGTGAATTCATGTGCATTCCTCAGTCATGAGGACTAACACTTTTGAGAGAATGCTTACAAGGTGTTCCTATGCAACTAAATACTTTGATCCATTTTCCAGATAAAAGCAAAGGAGAACAAAAATGAATTAAGGGTATACAGGATGGCGGTTTACATCACCGCTTCAGACAAGTGTTTGCTCCACAAGTGGTAGCAGTGGCAAAAGGGAACACTTTAAGAGGGTAGGAGACCCAACCTCTAATCACTCATAGGCTGTATGATTATAGTCAAGATACTGGAACTCTCTCCCCTTCCTTCATAAAAGGCATTGATGAGGTGATAATTCCTTCTCATCACATTTGTCTTGTAGTCACCATTCAAGAAGATTGATGCTCTAATCTTATGACGATTTAAGATCCTATTCTTAAAATGGCTTGAAGTTTATGTAGCTTCAGCATGGTGATTCAGCATCACCTGAATCACCTGCTGACCTTGCTCTATCAGTAGCTGCTTCCTAAAACATTGTGTTGAGAAGGATTCTGAGGGCTTATTTACCTTATTTAGGCTAAGCGGAAGCCACAGCCTTGACTTCATTGTGATGTCTGGCATGAGGCAGGGAGGGGAGTATCAGTAAATAAGCCATGTCATCGCTGATCTAGTCCAATGCCTTCACTCCACAGGAAGAAAATGAGAATAGAAGTTCATGTCTTAAGTTTACCATATTCCAGGCATTATCCAAATTGCTTTTATATGCACACATTCATCTAATCCTTAGCCAGTCTTAAGAAGTTAGCATTATTATGATTCCTGTTTTGAAGATGAGGTTTATGGGAGCAAAATTTGCCTGAGGTTTACATTCTGGAAATCCATATCTTTAAGCACTTCCTTATACTGCCTCCTAATCTGTGGGCACTTACTATGTGCTAGGCTAATGGTACTCAGCCAGGAGTGGTTTTGCCCTCCAGGGGACATCTGGCAAAATTTTTGGTTGTGGGAGGAGAGGGGGTTCCTTGAATTTAGTGAGTAGAGGCCAGAGATGCTGCTAACCACACAGTACAGCGCCCCGCAACAAAGAAGTATTTGGCCCCAAATGTCAGTAGTGCTGAGACTGAGAACTCGGAGTTAAGCCACGTGAAAGTCATTTTTCAGACTGAGGATGAAACTCTTCCTGGAGCCCAATACATACAATTACTGCCTCTCTTGCAGAAAAAGAAAGGTGCTCTCAGAATCAAGAAGTGGTCATCATAAGACAGGAACCCAGGTAGTCAGATTCTAGAGGCCTCCATTAAACTCCTTTATCATCATCTTCCTCTACTATGAAAACACGTCAACTCTTTTAACACCTACTCACCTATTACGAATTTCAGAAGCTAGGAACATTCAGCCAAGTGTGAACAATCTCCACCGTGGTGTGTGTTTCTCTAAAGATAAGAAGTATTTGTTCCAACAGTTCCAAGAGGGTCTTTAGAAGCTCTTACTATAGAACCACTGATCTCGCTGGAGTAGACATTCAGATCCTTGCTTTAAAATAAAACTCTGAAGAGAAAGCTAATTTTAGGACATAACAATCTTTTTCAAGAATAATTAGCTCTGTGTTGTATTCAACTTTAATTTTTTCCCTTTTGTTTTTAGGAGCTGGTGAGCCTGGAAGCTTATTTAGGAAGAGGAAATGAAACTGAAAAGACACAGTAAGATTCCTCTTTTTCTTGGAAGCAAGGCACGATATGAATAATTCTCATGCTGTCCAATTAACTGCCTCAAGTACAAATAGAAAAAAAAAAATACACACTTGGTTATTTGGAAGAAATTGAAGAAAAAGCGAAGAACGGGATGGTAGTTTCAACAATAAAGCCCTATACAAATAACTTCCTTTCGGATTTAAGGCTTGTCTCCCGCAGAAAAAGCAATGCTCATGAAACAGGGTGAGGGTGGGTGATGGAGAAAGTTAAAGAAATAAAGAGAAATAAAAGAGCTTGAAGCGGGGGCGGGGGGTCGCGGGGGGGGGGGAATTGAGCTGCTTCTTCTGAGAGGAATTACCGAAAAACGGAAGGAGGGCTGGAAAACAACGGGCGTGGGCAGGGTGACTGCATGAGTTCAGAATGAATGGTCCGGGCGCCTGCCAGAAGCTTTCATCCGCCGGGCGTTGGTCGGGTGCAGGGGGATGATTTAAGAACCTCCAAATCACTGGATTTTAAATCTTCTCCAATAAGGTTTTCCGAGTGCCAGCGCGGGCAGCATATCGGTGGGTTTGTTCGGCAGCTTGTCGGGGTCCTCCCGCCCTCGCTCGTCGCCTGCCAGGTCCAAGACAGACAATCCCAGACATTCCGCGACCCCAGAAAGCGGAGAACCGAGCGCGAAGAATGAAATGCGGATAGCGTGGCTCCGGCAAGAACCTCAGAAACCTTATTTGGGGTCGTCTAGGAGGCTGGAAATGTGTCGAGTGCCGCAGGTGGTGGGCGGCACTGGAATTTAATATTCTGGAGCCCCTACACTGTGACAGGCAGCGCGCCTAGAGAGCCACACTCAAGGTCTAGCTCGGTGAGGTAGGTTAGAAGGATCTTCAGCGAGGTTACACACCTTGCATTTGCCGCTCCCTCTGCCTGGAACGCTCTTTCCGATACGTCTGTGGTAGCTCCCCGGTTTAGGAGCTTTAGGGTGGGATTTCTCGTCTATCATGGAGCTCCTGCATTTTAATTGTAACTGTGATGCTTTCTCTCCCCTCCCCTTCGCACATGAACTGCGTACAATAAACAACCACGCTCCCCTCATGTCTCCTCCTGGGACCCGGCACCAATCTGCATCACTGCCTCTGGATGTCGGGGTCACAGCCTCCCGCCGGATCCCATGGGGATTCTGTCCTTCGTCATCCCGTGCCTGCAATCCTCCCTTCTCCACGTGATTTTTTCCTTTCTCTATCCCTTTGCCTCGGTCTGAGTTCCTTAAGAGGTCGAATCCTCTTTGCCTGTTCGCCCAGTGTGTCCTCTGAAACCGTGTCCTTTAACCAGCCTCTCACGCGCCGCCCTCTCTTCTTCCTCCCTCCCTGGGAGGAAACGCCGCTCCACGAACATTTACTGAGTGTCAAGGGCACGCATATAGCGCGCTGGGCCGCCGGGAACTCCTACCCCCGCCCAAAGGCAACTCTCACCTCCCTCCACCCCTCGCACCCGTCGGGAACTCGGCTTCCCACCTCCCCTGACTGCGTCATGGAATCGGTGCTTTTTCCAGGTGCATGGCCCCACCTCCTTCCCCGGAGGCGACTCCTGGTTGGTGGGAGTGTGGGTCACTCTGCCGTCCCTCCCGCCCTCCCCGCGTGGCCCCGCCCCAGAGCGGGCTCTGGCTCCTCCTCCTCGCTCACGCCCCTAGCTCCCCACTCCAGCTAATCGCCTGGAGGCGCGCGCGGAGAAGTTCTGGGCAAAGTACTGGGAACTGGGTGAGCGATAGCAGCGCACGCGAGCCGGGCGGAACAAGGGGAGCCGAGAGCCAGGCGGCCAGTGCGCGGCGCAGGTTCTGACCCGGGCGGCCGTAGGCGAGTAGCCCTCCCCGCCCCTGTCTCCTGCGGCTGGTGAGGGAACTATCAGCTGTGCGTTGCTGGGGGACCGAAGAAGCCGGGTTTGCCTCCTCCCGCGTGTGTGGACGACCCCCGGAGCTAGGCGGCGTCCGCGGCGGCAGAGCGTGCAGGTTAGAGTCGGGATGCCCGCCAGGATGGCGCTGGGGTGTGGTGGGGCCCCGGGCCGTGGCGCGGGCTCGGAAGGGCTGCGGTATGGGGGGTGCCGCCGGTCTCAGCAAGCCTGGAGTCTGCCTCCTGTCGCCGAGGAACAACCGGTCAGTGGGGGCAGCCCCGAGTCGCCCTCGGTGCCGGCCTCCCGGGAGTTAGGGCCCGAGTGCTGCCCGCCCTGGAGTGCTCTCCTGAGAGGCACGGTTTGGCCGGGATTGACGGCGAGAAGGCGCCGAGCCTGGGTCGGGGCACCGGAGGATGCGGCTCCGAGCGTTGTTCTGGGCAGCCGGGAGGCGCGGCGCCGGGGCGGGAGGCACAGGAAACCAGCTTGATTGGGCCGAGCGCGAGGCTTCACCACATCCGCGGGCTGGGGCGCGCCGGGGGCACCTGGGAGGCGCTGGCCTTGCAGGCTCCGGGCTCGCCCGCCTCCCCGCGCCCGGCCTGCTCCAGTCTCCGGCACCCAGGCTGCGGTCTGAGGGCACTTGTCCCTTCGGGCTTCCCAGCAGCCTGGGAAGCGTTTGCAGCTTCTGGAGTCACTAATGGGCATTGTTCTAGATCGTCCAGATACTTCTTAGGTCAGGGCGCGCCTCCCTCTTTCGGTAATGCAGCTTGCCAGCCACCTTACGCACATTTGTACTCTCTCCTCCGTCTCACGAACTACCAGTCTCTTCTATAGTCAGGACTCTAAGATGAGGGGAGCTGTGAAGTTGTCGCTTTCGATGTGTCTGGGGATTGCGCTGAGGTGCATCTGACCAACGGCCCCCCGCCCCCAACAATGTTGCCCTGACCCTCAGAGTCTGAGTACTGGGATGAGGGCATCTAGAAATGTTTTAAGCTGCAGCTGCAAAACAGATCCATCCATAGACAGGTAAAGGTGTAGGTCTAACTTTTGGGCACCCACACTCTACCTCCAAACATCATTCAATGTGAGGCCCCCCTTCTGGCCCAAGGAGACCAACTAGGCAGGCCTGGGCTGAAACGCACCCAAGCTAAATGACCATCCCCTCCACCAACATACTAGCACACCACCCTGTTTGGTATATAGTCTTATTAGCTAGGTATTTCTAACTAGATGGGAAATTGAGGCTCCAGCAGGTTAACCAGTTTTCCCAAGATTATCCTGACAGAACTAGAATTCCAGCTCATTTTCTCTCTATTGTGCTGGGCTGCTTCCAAGAAACTAAAATGTGGTTTCCACCATTACAGCCAGTAGACATTTAGCTTTATTTATAACAAAAGCTATTGCTTAACCAAAAGATTTTATCATTACTGAGATTTAGTTTCAATAATAGCCTAATAATTATGCTGTAAACCAGATACTACCAGGCTGCCATAGGCTGTATTCTTTCATCTTCGCCATCTTGATGGCAGTGCTGTGAGGTTATCTCCATTTTATAGATGAAGAAACTGCAGCCTAGGTTTGGGAATCTGCCCAGGGTCAGTAGTAGATTGCTGAATTAGATTTTTACTAATAGTCTTTCTGAGTGTAAATCTTTAGCTCCTTCCACTAGACTGAAATTTCTCCTGCTCCCACTATTTAATTAGATGTTAACTCATTATGATAGAGTTCAATGTTATAGCATATTAAAACCACCTGAGGCTGAGCTATAAACTTTCCACTGCCAGTAAGAGTCTAGTTGTACTATTTTCTGAATTGTTGAGACTCTTACTGCCATTGATATTTGTGGATGAGTTTATGGTTTGTGGGCCTGGTAGATGAGGCACATTTAATGTAGGAGGAAAGGAAATTCTCCTTTCACCTGGATTTAAATTTACTTTCACCTAAATCTAAAGAGAAATCTGATGGGTTTTACCCACTGTGGTAAATGGACTCTGAACACAGTAATGTTTTCTGCCTCTTAAGGAAAGTACTGGAAGACCAGCTAGTACCTCTGTTCCCATATGTAGAATGGAGAGTTAGAAACCACTACTAGTTCCAGAAGCTTCTGCAGCAACCTTTTGGCAAAATAACTACATTTCGACTCTTTGTTCTCTTGTAGTAAAACTGAGAGCAAGAAGTTAGCTAAGTATGTCATGGTTACCACCTGAAGAGCTAATGGCAAAATAGAGGATGGGAAGAAATTAGAGATCCCCTTTTTCTTCTACTTCATTCCAGTTTTAGGGGTAGTATAATGTTTTTCCTTGCATGATGACCTGGATAATCCACGGTTTCATTTATACTGTGCCTCTTGGCAGTACTATATTTTCTTAATTGTTAATTCCATTTCAAGAGTTCTCCAGGACTTCCTTGGTGATGCAGTGCTTAAGAATCCACCTGCCAATGCAAGGGACACGGGTTCGAGCCCTGGTCTGGGAAGATCCCACATGCCGTGGAGCAACTAAGCCTGTGTGCCACAACTACTGAGCCTGCGCTCTAGAGCCTGTGAGCCACAACTACTGAGCCCGTGCTCTAGAGCCTGCAAGCCACAACTACTGAGCCCACATGCCACAACTACTGAGCCCACATGCCACAGCTACTGAAGCCTGTGTGCCTAGCGCCCATGCTCCACAACAAGAGAAGCCACCGCAATGAAGAGTAGCCCCCACTCACCACAACTAGAGAAAGCCCCGTGCAGCAACGAAGACCCAGTGCAGCCAAAAATAAATATAAATAAATAAATAAATTTATAAAAAGAAAAAGAGTACTCCAGGGAGGGTTGGAGAATCCTTCAACCCAGAACGCCCACAGAAATGATGGAACTCTAGGGCACTGAGGAACATGGAGGCTGTTAAGTTGAAGGAGGCTTCAGAACTGAGAGTTGTTTATAGTTGCCTGTGAATTCCTTTCCTGTCTACATCTTTTTTTAAAATTAATTAATTAATTTATTTTTGGCTCTGTTGGGTCTTCGTTGCCGCGCGCGGGCTTTCTCTGGTTGCGGTGAGCGGGGGCTACTCTTCATTGCAGTGTGTGGGCTTCTCACTGTCGTGGCTTCTCTTGTTGTGGAGCACGGGCTCTAGGCACGCAGGCTCAGTAGTTGTGGCTCATGGGCTCTAGAGCTCAGGCTCAGTAGTTGTGGCACATGGGCTTAGTTGCTCCGTGGTATGTGAGATCTTCTCAGACCAGGGCTCGAACCCGTGTCCCCTGCATTGGCAGGTGGATTCTTAACCACTGCACCACCAGGGAAGTCACTCCTGTCTATATCTTATTCGTCAGCTTTTATCCCCCTTCTCTGGAAATGTCCTTCTTAACTTCCCGGTCACTACTGTTTAGACCATGTTTATACTCACCCCAGCTCCTATCTCTCCTCCCTCTTGTCTTTCACATCCATGCCTTCCAGTTGCCCCTGCAGCATCTTAGCTCAGTCTTAGGGACTTCTCTACTCTGTCCTAACATAGCTTACATTGTCTCCCTCAGCCCCGCCTTCATATCATAGTCAGGTAAATTCTCTAGATCCTGTCATTATATTGCTAAAAATTCTTGAGTGGCTTATATAGTTAATAATAATTATAATATTAATAACAGCAGCAGTAGCTGTTGACCTTCTTGTGCCAGGTACGGTCATGAGTACCTTACGTGGATTTAAAATTGTGTTTAATCCTCGGAGCAACAGCAAAGCAGGCACTGTTATTATACCCCCAATCTCTGGATGAGACCAGGAGAAGTTAAGTTTGCAACTACTTTACAACTAATACAAGGTGGAGTTGAGACTCAAACCCCTGGTCCTTTCTCTCCCCATTTAAGGTAGACCCCTTAGCCTAAAGTCAGGATCCGGCAGCCTGGGCTCAGTGTCTGCCTTCACCCATTGTTCCCCAGCCTGAACTGTATTCAGCAACAGGGCATTTTGCCTTTGCTCTTATACTGCTGTTGCCTAGAAAGCTCTTTCATTGCCTCTACCTGTGAAACCCCAGGTCTTTCAAGGCTGAACTCATAAACCAGTTCTGCCAGAATCATCTCTCTGAACTCAGTCTCTCATAGCATTAAAACACACACACTCTTCAGCACTTTCTTTCATACCCACCCCACACATTCCTCCACCCCAGTGCCTCCTGGCCTAGTTATCTATTCAAATGTATTAGCTCCCTTACTACATTGTAGATGCCTTGAAGGCAGGACTAGTATCTATTCCTTCTGTTTGTATCCGCACATCGCTAAGCCTCGTATGCTATCCATAGTAGGTGCACAATTAAAAAGAGAGTAGAAACAACTGTATATGGTTATATGCTGTTAGGATATTTTGTGAAAAAAGTAATTGGAATGTGGCATTTTGTTTCCTACTTTTTGATCCACAATACTGTAATACCTTCATCAATTTATGATGAAGCAATAGAAATCCTAATTATTTAAATCCACGAAAAGCACTTATTCTGGTTGTTTTCAGCTTGCAGATATTGTAAGGAGATCTCAAACCCATAAAAATAAACAAGCATTTTCTGTAGGGTAAATATCTTGCATCTTATATACACTATTTTTTCATATATATGGTAAAGTTGTTATTAAAAGTATATTAAAACTGTTATGGAATTGAAACTAAATTTTCATCAATGTTTTATTGATCAATGAATATTTCTCATTTTTTTTTTTTCTTTTAACATCTTTATTGGGGTATAATTGCTTTACAATGGTGTGTTAGTTTCTGCTTTAATATATTTCTCATTTTTAAACCTGACTTACTAGATCTTCTATGAATCACCTCTGGCTCATAGCTCATCACTTCGTTCTGTGTGTTCTAGTCACACTGAACTAAATTCAGCTCCCCACCTATATCGCCAGGGCCATGAATAATGTATTCTGGCCTCCCAGTTTCCGCATGAAGTTATGTCCTCTTTACACCCATGTTCACCTGGCTGGTTCCCACTCATCCATCACATTTCAGCCTGAATGTCACTTATAGGAAGACTTCCTCTGCTGCCTCCAAGTTGAAGTTGGAAAACATGCATGGCACTCTGTGCCTATCTGTTTTGGAGGGAGCAGTTATCGTACCGTTGTGTAACTGGTCACTTGACTGAATCTTCCATGGAACAA